ATTTCTTAGTCACATATTTTAAATAATGTATCAAAAATAATATATGTGAATCTAGAATTTAAATATTTTAAAAATGTATATATATAATAAATGTATATATATATAAATGTATAATGAGCAAAATTCTAAGTTTTATGCAAATAAAAAAAGTATTATGGAAAATGTATTATATTGCAGTTCTAAATTATTTAAGAAAACGTGGCTGACTTGCCAAAATGATGGTAAACTGTGCAACTCTGCTTCCAAGATGTTAGAAACAGACGTTTTTCTTTTAGCCTCATAATTTAATGCTGTTGCGATGTTACCGTCTCTTCGCTGTACTGGTTGTTACCAGGTTACGGAAAAATATAACATGCTCACAACATCCAATCAGATTAAATGAACTGAAAAGCAATATGGGTTTTAAGACATCACAGAGAAGGTAACATTTAAAGGCTTAAAAGCACAAACTGTTTCTCGCTTCTAAGACTAAGTAAGTAAGTTTTTGCACACAATTAACAAATAGTTGCAGGCAAATTAAACTTTAGTGACAAGGCAGTACTGGCCCGATCAGGCCAGTAATGATTTTGTCTACTGTCCAAAGCATCTCTCACGCTGGCCCTGGGTCATCAAGCAGTTCTTATTGTTGAGCCCTGCATTATAATTATATACAATTTTTTTTTTATTATTTAATTTTTTTTAATTAAAATGTTATGTAATGTTATGTTAATAAATGTTTAAATAAGAATATTAAAAAATAATTTGATTTAATACAAATACAGGGAAGCACGTTTTAAAAAGTAAATAAATTTTGTTAAATTTTATATAAGGAAAATATGTTTATTTCTGTATTTTTCTATACACTGAACACAACTAAGAATTTCTAAATAAATATAGACAAATGCTATTAGGCATGGGATGATAACCAGTTTAAAGGTCAAGGTTTAAAAACCCCCAGAATTATCTGTTATACCGTTCCAACGATATATGTAATTTTTTTATTAACACTTTTAATAAAAAAGGACCCTCATCATCAAACTGTTCTTAAAATAAACTATATTGTGCTCAAAGGTGAAAACAGTTCTTGTTTTTTACCCAGACATTTAAAAAAAGAATTTATTTTAGAGCAGTAATCACAATACCGTCCGTGATACCGTGATTTTTTTTTATCAAAGGTAATCATACAGTCACAATCTTTTACCGGCCCATGCTATTTATACGGCAGTGTAAAATAAAGTGTAAATTGTAACGCGTTATAAAGAATTGCTTCTTTTAAACAATGCCACAAAAATTATGAACATTTTTTTTTTGTAAAAATTTTAAACCAAAAATAACTAAAAATTTCTCCAAATATAAAACAATTGAGCAGGGCACATTGTAACACATAACGAAAACTGCTTCCATTGTTTTTTTTTATACTTGAAAATCCTTTTCATCTTTGTCCCACATAAGTCATAACATTAACAATAATAATTGAATATAGATTTCTTGTCTAATTGACTGCCCTTAATAAGACATTGCTTCATTGACCAGTTAAGATTAAACATAACAACCAGAAGGGAACAAAAAGGCTCAAATAGGCATGAAATTACAAGCACCTTGCTTGACCTAATTACAGTGACGAGCCTCATCTCACCAGATGCCCCAATCTGACGGTGGGGGTTCAAGTCTCCTCATCTATGGAGGTCACTGTTTACACAATATGCCTCACTTTTCTGAATGACCTCATTGGTCAATATGCCAGTTCTGTGAGAATCGATCAAAAATAGCTTTAAAGATTAAAGATTTTAAGTTTTCTTCTCACTTTTTTAGGTAGATTATGTGTTGAAATGAACACAACAGTTTATACCCATATCTCAGAGATCATATCGATGATGAACTTTAATGAATGATAAGTTATTATATTATATATTAAATCATATTATATTATAATATATTATATTCTATATTCGTTTTGATAGATGTAGTGTTTAAATGAACAGTTTATACTCATCTCAAGGATCATAAAGAAGTGTCATATCATAGAACTGTAAATGACAATGTTATATTATTTTGATGGACCTTTAGATATATTCTTTGGTTATTATACTGTATATTTTTGGTAGATTATGTTTACATCATAGAGCTTTAAATGACTAGTTCTATTCTAGTCTATTTGATTTTTTTTTTTTTAAATGACCACAACAGTTTATACTCAAATATCAGTGATCATAATGTTATATCAACATATAAAATCTATATTATGTTATATTATATTATATTATATTATATTATATTATATTATATTATATTATATTTTATTTTATATTAGACAGCACCCATTCTCAGTTTTACATCTATTATTTGACTGTCAGCTTGACTTAAGTAGGAGTTTGATCATTAGTCGTCACTTTCCTCGAGTTCAGAGGATTACGCATTCGATTTTTAAGACCATTTTCTCCTTCGGAATGAACGGCGCTTTATGCTTTAAATGAAAACCAGATTTACTAAATCCTGGATTAAGCTGTTAAACTGATAATAGACCTTCTCACTTTCCCCTCGTCAAGACCGAGTAAATCTTTAATCTGCTCAACACTGTCTCAAAAATTACAGGAGTAGCTTGTAACATATGGCCTTTTGCATAGGAGTCCAGACAAGCCTATCATGTGAACGAGTGAAAAAACAAGGCCGTTTAACATGTCTGGACCAAGCCCTTTAAACGGGACAAGCAGCAGCTGGTCAGGGATGCCAATCTGCAATCAATGAAAACAAACTAAACCAGTGGATTGGGTTTATATGCCCAATTGAACAGCAGAATTACTCATCTAATGCAGATGAGCGTATATGGCTTGATGGCCACAGTCAGCCGGGACATGAATTATGCAGAAGAGATATAGCGATTTGTCACTTGTACACAAATCAGATGTAATAATGTATGTATTTAGTGCAGTATTTTATATAGAACGCTACTTTACGATTTCAAGTACCTGTAGGAAAATATGTTATAGATAATTACTATACTATAGAGGTGATAATTCATAATGCATAACTTTAAAAACATTTTGTTTCATAGTATAGCAATTATATATACAGTATATAAGATAGACTGCATATATATATATATATATATATATATATATATATATTATATCTGTGTGTTATTATATTATAACCTTAGTATAACAATAATAGTATTTTGGAAAGGTTTATGAATGAGTTTTTTTGCCAACAGGCTTTTTTTTGGAGGGGGTGAAACTGTGACTGTCTGAATCTGCTTTGTTTGATTCACATTGAACAGATTGAGATCGACAGCTTGTCGAAGACTTCTGTCTGTCTCAATTCCTCTGAGACACTCAAATCAATTATTTAGTGCTGCCCCACAAATGTGTTTTATATGGTTTTGTTATTGGTTTACTATATATTATTGAATATATAGAATGTAATATGTAATATAGAGAAATGTGCTGATGATACAGTAGATGAATACTGACACTATATTAAAATATTCTATATAAAAGTATAAAATTTGAACACTGACGCTATATTAAAAGATTGCAAATGACCGTATAAATGTTTAAAATGTAGAAACTTCACATGTTATTTTTTCTAAACAAGCATGCTGGTTATTACTTTATAATTATGTAACAATATAACTGTACTAATACAGTTCAGTAATTAACAAGTAATTCAAAAATATTTTTATTTTAAATGTTTATATTTTATCATTATTCTTCAAGCCACTAGGTTATATTAGTTTGTCAGCAAAAATGAACAAATTAGCACCAACGCTTATAATTTAAAATATTAAATCTTGAAAATATTTTAAAGAATGTTACATTTAATGAAAATTATTTTAAAAAGCATAAGAAAAATTACACACTCAAATTGCATTTAATATGCTTTCCGTGTAAATTACTTATGTAAATTTAATTTGATGCACACTAAAATGTCTCGTCTATGACCTATATACATAATGTATTATCATATTGTAACTCAAATATTACATGTAATATTAATATTACCTTAAATATTTATATATTACAATTTAACATTATGAATAACAAAGACAACTGGAGTATGTTTGACCAAAACAAAACAACAATCTTTCTATTTGTAAAAGTTAATTTTAAAAAAACTGTTGCGATGTGTAAAATATCCATTTACTTTATTCAGTAAAACTAATGTGGATTATAATAGTATAGCATAAATATATAACAATATATCAATTTAATATTAACATCAATATAAAATTGATGAATCTATCTATGAAAAAATATGAAAAATTCATTATTTACTCACTTATTACTAATTGCACACCCGTATACTATTCTTTTTTCATTGAACACAAAGAAAGATATGTTGAAGTATGCTGAAAACCGGTAACCATTGACTTCAACAGTATTTATTTTTCCAATGGCAGCCAGTGGTTACAGGTTTGCAGCTTTCAACCAAATATTTTCTTTTGTGATCAGCAGAAGAAAGAAACTCATAAAAGTTTGGAACCACTTAAATAAAATAGTGCATAAATAGTCTGTAAATGTTCATTTTTGTATGAACTATCCCTTCAAATTATCGTTTATATTAAAAGATTCCAGTAATAAATGTAAATAATGAGACCTACAACCCTGTAAAACAAATTGCAAAATCAAACTGACTCCATACAGGCAATTACTCCTGCAAACAATGTTCTCATTTAAGAAATCCAAAGATGTCACGGTTGCTTAAAGATGCATGCACTTTTTAATTAGGTAATGGTCCTTGCCACCCGGCGCTGGTTGTGGCCAGATGGTAAGTTATCTCTGGTTTGTAACGCCTGTTTTCAGTGATAGAGCAGCCAAAGTTAATTGGAATGTCATTAAAGTTTGAGTTACTGGGGGTTGGGGCTGGACTGCACTAGTCCTGCTGTTGGAGATGTGCGTTTCATTAATAATAATGGATGTTTGGATGGAGTAATAAGGGTGGGGCTCCACCTGCTGCCACCTGTTAATACTCTATATAAGCATCGCTCATCCTTATGGCAGAACAGAAGCGATTAAGAACCATCCGGAATTACATCCCAAGAACATCGGTGACATTTTTGGAGACTTTTTTGAAGAGCCATGAAGCCCCGCAGGCCGAGCTGTGCAGACTCCGGGTCTGATTCTGATTCCAGAGACCCGGAGAAGTTTGAGAGTGCTATGCGGCGCAGGATGGCGGCCAATGCAAGAGAACGAAAGAGAATGCAAGGCCTGAACACGGCATTCGACCGGCTTCGGAAAGTGGTTCCACAGTGGGGTCAAGACAAGAAGCTGTCCAAATACGAGACCCTACAGATGGCTCTGAGCTACATCATGGCCCTCAATCGGATCCTGAGCGACGCTGGTAGACACGTGGATCCTCAGAAAGACTGGCTTAATTTACAGTTCGACGGCCTACAGACTGAGGGATATTTTATGCACTACGATTCACCTGTGGAAAGTGACTGCATGCTTTCTTCTTTCTCCTACCACTACGAAAGCCTCTGAAGTGACTGACTGATGGAGCATTTACTGTATCTTTCTTTATGTGGATACAGGAGGGTGTAAATATGTTTGTATTACTATGTAATATTTTATGTTCATGCTTTAATGGAGTCTGAATCATTCTAGTGGTATACAGGGTGAGGAAAAAGTACGTTTTTGTGCAATTGTAGAAAATCTTCCATTGGGCGGGTTGTGAATGAGGACTTAAAAGCGCATTTGTTTATGAATCAGATGTTCATATTTTATTTGGATTGCTTTGTATCAAATCTTTGTGATTGGTGTGTGCTCAGCTCAAAGTCGAGAGCTGAATATCATACACTGTGATGTTATTCTGCCATTGAATTTTCTTGCTGTGTTTTGTTGATAAACTCAATAAGAGGGGAAGAGAGTGTGATAATGTTTATAATAATACAATTAAAAAATTGTATTTTTTATGTATAATGTTTTGTACCGTAGCCAGAGTAGTTTGAGCTGTAGTTTATTTTTTGATTGAACTGGATTTAAAATGTTATATTTTGTTTATGGTGCAATTAATATGTGTTAGAATAAACACTGACTAAACCACTCATTTGTTTACTTTAAACATTTGATTTATTCAATTGTTTTAGATCATATTAATTTTAATACAAAAATTATATATTATACTACAAATATTTTTTAATTTAATTGTTTTGATTTTTAAAAGGTTTTAAAGATTTAAATTATTTAAATTAAAGTGAATAATCTTCATTTATTAATTTAAAATCATCGTTTAGCCCCAGCCTTTGAGCGGCAAACATTACTGCACTGTCCCATACATAAACCAAAACATTAATGTTACAATTAAACATTTATTTGTTTCATACATATTCTGTACTATCATCTACAAAAAAAATCTTATCTGTACACTGTAAAATATCCTGGATGCCCTAAATTTTTAAGCTGAATCAAATTAACCTTACGAGTCTATTGAACTTATATTATGTTAAACTGACTTAAAACAGCTCGCGTAACTTCTAAAATTAAGTAAGAACAAGATTAACTTAGTTTAATAAGTTACAATGACCTAAAAACAAATGCTGCCAGGACATATTGATCATATAATTTTTTAAAGTGTAGAAACACAGAAGATAAACATATTTATTATTTTAGTCACGTAACATTTTTCTCCATTTTGAACTAGGTTAGATATATGAAATAAAATTTTACTACAGCATTACTTTTTTGAATAAAAAAGATCTATACACATTGCAAACACTAGGTCTGGTGTGCTCACTAGACAGATAAAGTCATTTCACCGAAGCCCTCTGTATCCCAAGATAAGACGACACCAAACAAATGTCTCTAATGTCAGTGCAATGATGCTATAAATACTGTTTAAATGCCTGAATGACGTCGCAGGTACATTGAGTGACCGCTGTGCTGTTTACACAGAAACACTTTTAGAAGAGAGAAAATAACATACTAAATATAATATTCAAATTTTAATGTTTTGCTTAATTTATTTGACCACCTTTCAAATATCTCATATAAACTAAAACAACAAATCACAAATAGTCAGGACAACAACATTTTTATGCTGCTTTAACTTATTTTAAAAGGTTAATCAGGTTTCAACTAATTAAAAAACTAACAGAATATTTTAGTCAGTTTGATTTATTTAAGACTAGAAAAGTTCATTTGATTCAACTAAAAAAGTGAAGTCGGCAAGAATTTTTTTACAGTGTACTCTATAGTAAACCAACAATATCAGTAGTGAAAAGAAAACATATTTTCAGAGCGAGTGGCACAAACTTGACTACGGCTGTCCTCATAACCACTCTTAATTTAGAGAGGAGATTAAACTCTTTGCTGTCTACTGACTGTGTATAACGTGTCTTTTCAGTGTTAATGAGGCATGAATGGCCAGTGCTCGGCCGAAAGCGTGTACGTGAAGCTAGATAAACCCGTCTTAATCCGTTTAGCTTCGCCTGTCATTATGACCAATCATCATGTTATGATCAGTATGCATCAATCTCCGCTAAAGACACTTGTTTGTATCTTGTCTACAATGCTTTTTAAAAATGTTTCTGAATTAGACAGCTTAAGGTCATGGTTCAATTCTTATATTAAAATCCCTTATTATCATAATATCACATTAAAGGCATATTTATCCAAAAATGAAAGTTTTATAGTAATTTACTCACCCACCCCATGCAAGATGTAGGTCCAAGTGCCCCTTTCTTCAGTGTAACAACAAATAAGATTTTAAGCTGAAACTGTGGTCCTTATTTCTAAAATGCAGAAGTCAACAGCCACCAGCACAATGAGTGTCAAAACATCATAACACAATAAAGAAATTATTCATTCATTCATACAGTCATTTATTTTATTTTCGGCTTACTCCCTTTAATAACCAGGGGTCACCACAGCGGAATGAACCGCCAAAAAGAAATCAAACAAAACATTACAATTCAAAAATAAATTAATACCTGTGTCTCCTGGTGATACATGGATCATCCGAAGCGAAATATTCCATCTGTGCAATAAATAAATGCATAAAAAAGTACAAAGTCAAGACCAAAATGATTTATCCCCCTTCGGCCAATTCTGACTTAACGTTTTTGTTCAGATGTAAATAAAAGCTGAGAAATATTTTTCCCCACAATGATGCCTCTTCTGTTTCATATGGGTTGATCTCTGACAACGTATTATTTTGTTTTGGAAGAAAAAATAAGTTCCAACTCTTGAAGTATAGCTGGCAGAGTTAACGGGTACATTACATCTGGAAAAAATTCGGTATACCCTAACAGACAATGTTTTGTTATTTGAAAAAATTTGGTCCCCTTTTATTTCCTTTCTACAAACTTGTGATTAAAATGTTTATTATGCCTTTAGTACCTACCCAGCAGGCACACAACATCATAAGACGTTAATATTAGGTTCGATTTAGGTCATGACGTCAGGTGACCAAAATTCAATGTCTAGCCAGCGTCTAGGGACAACGTTATCTTTTGACGTTCAATACCAATGTCAAATTATGTTGATATTTGTTAATTTTAGGTTGTGTTGGAAAGTGACCAAAATCCAACATCTGATAGATGTCATAGTGCTAACGTTTACACAACGTCAAGGTGCAACATGATTAAAAGTTGATATTTGGTTGATTTTAGGTTGGACATTGGCGTCAGCCTGATGTTGGGTTCTGACGTCAACTTGATTTTCATTTCCAAACAAAATTCAATGTCCCCACAATGTTGGGGTACAACGTCAATATGACGTCATGTTGACCTCCTGTGCCTGCAGGGTACTTTTACCATTGGATAGTTGGTTGGGGGAATGCATGTTTAGTTTTTGTTTGACTGTTGGTTGTTGTTGTTTTCTCTATTTTTATGTGTAATTGTTAAAATGTAAGTCTAATTATGTAATTGTTAAAACTTCCATCTTATTATCTTTTGGAAAAAGCCTGCAGTCAAAAACTATATATTGTTGTGCTTGAAAGTTTGCATACTCTTTCAGAATCTGTTAAAATGTGACAATTTTAACAAAATAAGAAAGATCATACAAAATGCATGTTGTTTTTTGTATTTAGTACGGTCCTAAATAAGATATTTTAGATAAAATATGTTTACATACAGTTCACAAGACAAAGCTGAAAAACTTTTAAATAAACCCCTGTAAAAGTTTTATTTTATGATCTTAGATATGTTTTCATAAAATTCTTTACATTTTAACAGATTCTGCTAAAGAGCATGTAAACATTTTAAATTTAAATATATATTAACATTATTACCTATAAATCACAGTCCTGGACTGGTCATATACTTACTATGCTTTCTTTAGAGCAGAAGTGGACTTACTAGCATTCAATGTGCACTCATGATTTCTTATTATTTATTACACAGGTTTTCACACTTCCAGAGGGCCACAAAGAGATTATCTAAAAGCATATCTCTGGATAACTCGAGAGATTTCTTTTTTGTATTTAACAAATATAGTTTTGTCAAAGGTCTTCTTTTATTATTTTGATATTAATTGTTAAGACCAGTTTTCCCAGAGATAGGTTGTGGCTGGAAGGGCATCTGCTGCATAAAAACTTGCTGGATAAGTTAGCGGTTCATTCCGCTGTGGCGACCCCGGATTAATAAAGGGACTAAGCCGACAAGAAATCGAATGAATGAATGTTAAGACCACTTGAATTATGAGCTAAATTAAACGTAAAGCAAGATTGCCCTGACCCTTATCAAGAGTAAACAATCCTATTGTTCTCTTACAAAGTTTTTTTTATCAAATAGCATTTTCATTATTGGTTTTAGACTTAGGCTAACACTAACGACAAATAAGTCTAATGTTAGACTAAAACAGTCTATGACTAAAGACATAACTTTGACTAAAAGCTAACATTCATTCATTTTCTTTTCAGCTTAGTCGATTATTATCAAGGTCGCCACAGCAGAATGAACCGCTAACTTATCCAGCTTGTTTTACGCAGCGATTGCCCTTCCAGCTGCAACCCATCACTGGAAAACACCCATACATTCTCATTACAAACACTACAGATACCTACTCAATTTACCTATGTGTGTCTTTGGACTGTTGGGAAAACCGGAGCACTACAAACTCTACACAGAAATGCCAACTGACCCAGCCGAGGCTCGAACCTGCTGTGAGGCGACAGCGCTACCCACTGCGCCACTGTGTCGCTAATTTAACATTCATTAGCAACATTAAAATCTTCTAATACTTTAACATGTCATTGCATCTTTTACTTACGAAAATTACCAATTCTTTGGCTAGGCTAATCAATGAGGTAAACATTACGCTTTTGCTGAGTTCATGGTTAATTTTCAAAAGGACTAGGCTATTAACGTTAGCTATAAAGTATTGATCTCTCATTATCCTGTGTACAATTTGTGACGTAGTTTGGCGTAAATTTTAGCTCTGTCGATCACTGTTCCAGAACATTAATGGATTTTGTTTTAAATGCATCTGTAGACAAAAGACGAGCCCCTCCTTTCCCAGAACCACTGCCCTGTTCTCACTGAGGTGATTCAAGCTAAAAGGTATAAATACAGGTAGAGTCTCTCCCTAGTCAAAAGCCTGTCTCGAACACATAAGGTAAATCCATCTACTCTTAAAAAGAGAGCTGTTCACCACAATGCAGCACTTTAGTAACCGGCCGGAGAATCACCTGAGCTGCGAGATGGAGAGCTTCGGTCATGGAGGCTGGGTGAATCAGGCCTTCAGCGGCTCTCCTGCGGCCGTGCGGCGACCCGTGAGCACCATTTACAGCCCTCAGCCCGGGTTTCACAGCCCTCTCGAGAACCCCTATCTGAACCAGGACAAAGCGCGAACTATGCCCAATGAGGACAAGAAGTCTGGATGTTGCTCCTTCTTCTTTAGAGCCATCAAAGGTAAGCGAGAAAACATGGATGTTTTTGTAATGTGAAAGATAATAATATTAATATTAATAATAATAAACTATTTATAATAATAATAAACTTGTTTTTATTACTGTCCATTACATTTTGTATATATTATTATATAATCATTTTTTATTTGTTGTGTTGCTTGTATTGTTTACATATTTTTAAAATGAACTATTATAA